CAGTATTTGAAATAACACGATTACTAAAAATCGGAGCAGCACACATCGAGACCCAGCGCTGTACCTTAATACACCTAAGGGTGTTCTTATCGGTACTACTGAAACTGAAGCTTTCAACAATTATTTCGCCGATTCTTTTACTATTGAAAATGATATAGTTTGGGATCACCCCACACAGTACTGCGAGCTATGTATCTTCAACGTAGCTTTGAAAACCGGTTCCATCAAGTGTCAAATTAACGCTTTAAAGACTACATTTCATCCAGGTCTAGATGGAGTCACTCCAGTAATTTTAAAGTCCGGTGAGAATGATGTCCCGCGCTTACTACTGGACTTATTTACTACATCGGTGACTACTTAGTTTTAGCACAGTCATTGAAAACTGACGATAGTGACGCTACGCCATAAAATCAGGCTTAGACATAATGTTAACAACTATCGGCTCATAACTCACACTGCTATACTTTCTAGAATTATGGAGAGTTTAGTTAAAAATGACCTCGTTACATTCCCAACTTCAACCAAATTTTTGTCACATTTACAGTATGGATTTCTTCAAAAGTGTTCACTTGCCAGCTAGATTTCTTTGATCACTTAAAGAAGTCGTACTTCACTTGGACCTTCAAAAATCCCTTGCCAGAGTTTCACAGAGAACGCTCATAGATAAACCTTACCTTTGTGGTTTCGCAGGTTCACTACTATCCTGCTTAGAAGCTTAAGTTACCGGTCGAAAGCAGACAGTAAAGATGGACGAGGATCTGTCGGAAACAAGAGATATTGCTAGTGGCGTGCCAATAGGTAGTGTACTTGGTCCTCTTCTTTTTTTAGTATAGGTCAATGACCTTTTCCCTAGAATATTACATGTAGACCGTATTTGTTCGCAGATGATATAAAAATGTTGTATGCCACTGATTCTTAACATCCGTCTTTTATATCTACGATCCAAAATGACCTAGCTTTACCGGAAGACTGGTGTGTCGGACGTTCCATGAAATGTTTAACATTATGAACTAGATATGCCTTGTTTTACTCGAATTTTCGTTTTTACATGGAATCCCATTCCCTTTATGCGAATCGATATGTGACTTAGGTCTCCGTTACTCAGCCTCGTTAAATTTCAAAGAACAATTTGAGCATACGGTGGCCAAAACACGACAGACGATTGGAATGCTAGGCCGTTTGTTTAAAACAAACAAGCTTAAGCTCCTGTCATACAAACTGAAGACCAGGTCATTAGTAAAATGATGTGCCACTAATTTTAGTCGCTTTAGTAGATTCGACACAAGGGCAGTTGAAGCTACACAAAGATCGCTTACCAAAATAATCGTAGGCTACACCTCTACGCTCATTTATATAGATGCCAGTTGATAAAATCCAACCGCACTGACTTTAGAGACAAAGGCAGAATCTATGTCGATCATTCCAAATGGTCTATCGATTAACATACACTAGTTAATATCCGCCGGTATTCCAAGAATATTCACCGTATGATCGAAGAAAGTGGCTATGGGATAAAACTAACTCGCTGCCACACAAGTCTGGGGTAAAACAGTTCTAGTTATAAATATCCCACGCTGTGGAGTATATTGCCTCAGGTCATCAGCAATTCATCTTCGCTTCAAACATTTAAGTTGCAAATAAAAGAGTACTTACCGGTTAACACATTTAAAGAACGGCTTCGTGTCAGTTGCACAGACGAATAAGTGTACAAGAACGGGTCTGATAACATTTAATCCCATGCAAAATTCGTGGTACTAAGTACTACTAAAGACGAGGGGAAAAGCTTGTCGATACAACCTGAAATACACTAGTGGTTTATCATTAGATTTTCTTGATGGAAAACTTGACCTTGTCTCTAATTCCTTCCTCTTACTCTGTCAAAGCCTTCGGTATTATTTAAATTGACGACCTACCGGTGGCCTGTGAAAACAAAGGTACATCGATAGGTTGGACATACGAGACCTATCTCTCATTTTCTCAGTCTATACCTGCTATAAAATTTCTGTTACTCAAACTGATTGCCCGGTGATGACCTATGAAAATATGGGCATATTAATGAGCTAGATAGATAAGATTTATCTTCGTTTTTTCTTCATCAACACTGTCTCTTACTGTGCTCTTACTTAGCTTGAAGACCCACTGATAGCATTTGAAAAACATGCACACACGGTTGAGTTGGATAAGCAAGCTTTTTCCCCAAACTTCATATAGTGCCTCCTTTGCAAAACACAGGTAGGTGAAAAGCATAAGTGCCTGCAAGAAGTGGACCTACTGAAAGGGTGAAATGTTAATGACCGCAACTATCCCACCAAATTCAGGTACGCAGTTCCACTTGCCCTGTGTTATCACATCTTCCCATCTTGATTTATTTTACACGCTGGATGCACTTCTCAGTTTAACCGGTTGTAGTGTGTTCATGTCTCCTCACACACTTCCCTATTTATAAATTATTGTCATATACCAACGTTCTGAATATTTAAATTACATTTTCCATGTGTAAATTTTCATACACTACCTATACGGCTGTTATTTTGCCTTCTTTCCCCAACTATTTGCCTACAGTATCTGAACGCTCTACAATTGTCATAGATTCCGACGTATGTTGAAACAAAATTAATGGCGCAAGAATCAATGGAAATGAAAACACAAGCGCTTTTTGTACGACAGATTGTAAATCAGTCTAAAATTGCTTTGTACCTTATGATAGGACCAGCTCAGCTTGGTGATGCCACACCTAGTTGAGAATATACCTAGTTACATGCGTTTATGCATTGCTTCCACGAAGTAACACCGGAAGCACTAAAAGGACGAGGAAAGACAAAATGGTGTGTGGAAACACAGCGTGTTGCCCAAAGTGTGATATTTGTACTTATTATGCACTTGAATTCTGTGGTTTTCAATGGTCCTAATTGTACTATTTGGGGTGCTGCCATTATATATATATATATATATATATTTGCTGACTAAAGAATCCACCGTTTTGTTTACAAATATCTGGCCACAAGAAGTGGTCCAATCTTCTTGGGATCAGTCGATAGTCGTCCCAATCTTCAAAAATTTGCACATTCCGCCAATTCTCCGCGCTTCGCCATGGGTATCAAATGCCAACGTGTGGCGTGTTCCTGTATATACCTGCTGCCTGCATATACGTCGACAGGACTGTAGTGCTGGCAGTCTTTTTTAGGAATATCACTCCGGGGTTTGTGTTTCCGTGTTGTGAGCGCAGTATAGTCAGACCCCAGGTACAGTAAGGTCTTAACGAAAGCTTTCGTATTCATTTATTGTCACCAAACGGGATTAAACAAGGATGCCCTATTCACACATTCTTTTGCAATTTTGACATTTAGAGTGTCACCAAATCGCTCTGGAAGATTCGTTGAACGCTGGAGTTGAGCTCCTCCCAAGTAGTCGGTTGGTTGCGTTTGATTACGCTTGTGATATTGTTGTTTTTTTGGATGTCCACCCACAGGCCGTTTAATTTAAACTTAACCACTTGCTGACTGGGGCATCAAAGTATGGTATTCTGTTGTTACTATCTGAGTGTAACTCACCTTTTCCAGACTAGCAGATTCCTGTTTCTGCACTGGTATTAGTAGTGGCATACAGGAGGTTGTGGAGTATTTATCTACCTGTAACTCTGCAGCACTGTTGATGGGGCTGATGGGGATGAGATTTCTACTCTTATATTGGGAGCTCGTCTAACTTTCTCTAGCTGTGGGCACTTGTACCTCCACGGTGACATACGTCTATACATAAGATAGTGGGTTACTAGTGTGACTGTCTGAGTGTACTGTGGTAAGCTTGCGTGGGGCCTGACCTGTTCGTTCGGGACTTAAGCTTTAGTTACTTTGTCGTCGGCTGATCCAGTGTTCGAACGAACACAGCAAAGAAACCAACAGAATTGGTGTATAATCCGCAAGAAGGTGCATTAAAGTAGACGGAAGCTAGGTGTTGCGCGCCCGAAAGCACTGCACATTGCGACACTTTTCGACCTCATTTGCTATTAGCAGTTGGAGATAGCATATTCTCGTTGTTCCGCGTTCGAGGCCTGATATCCACCCGATAATAGCAAATGAGATCGAATTGCTTCGCCGTATGAACTATTTTTAGGTAGGCGAAACCTGATTTCCACTTGTTTTCGCTACGGTTCCAGTTAACGCATTGACAAGCTCCACTACAATGTGAATCGTGGTCTACACTGAGACAGCGCGTCGCAATCCATTCTCACAACGAGTACTTCGAAATGACCCTAAATTCCTTGTATTGAAGTAGACGCAAACACAGCCGTTGTGTCCTGCATTCGGCCAGCTTCTATTCTGTCTCTATTTGGTTGATTGCTTATTGCGTGCAACTTCAGTGATGTGTTGGCGGGATAGAGTAGCACATAAAATCAGTATCTTTCTCACTTTTAAAGATATATTTTAACCCTAATCTAAACGTGCACAGTTTCAAAGCTCTAAAATGTCATTCAGAATGCCATCGAAGCAACTTGAACCTTCAACCTGTTCGGAAAGGTTCCGCATCATTTTAACTGTTCATATAAAGTCCAAGTTAGTTATCATGTCAGCATGCGACATGTGAGCTATCACAGCTTAGCTGTTACTGCTCTATTTAAATTACGATACACATAAGTCGGAATACAGTTTGAGAAGTCACGCCCTAGCACAAGGATTCATGAGCTATTCTTGTTACGATTCGGCTACTACAAGAGTACAGCTATTTCCTCAAAATACCACTTCACACTAGCATCTCATTACGTATACACATGGCATAATACTATTGATGTGTAATGTAGCCGTTTGTAAATCACTCACCCCCCACAAATGCACTGTTTAACCCACATTTCCCACGACGAGATGTCGTTCCACAGAGCCAATTTCCACTGGCTTTTGCGCTTTCGTTTTTGTAAAACATTGGTATATCAGGGCCGTCAGGTATGTGAATATATAAATAATTTTCTTCGTCTATAATCGCGTCTTCAATGGGGTGTTCGCAAGGATTCAGTACCTCAGAGCAACGATGACCAGCGTACCCTTTTCGACAATGACAATACGGCTGGAAAGATATAAGTACCGATTCGGATGGAACAATTTCGCTTGTTGTGCTGTTACGCTGAAGTCGGTGATAGCAAAACTCGGTGCCTTCCTCATCGCAGTCGCTTTCTTCCATTGGGCACTTCACATGTAGGTTTGTGTCGTTTGCCTCAGTATCCGACTCCAAGATTTCCCTCCTCAGTAAGCAACCACGATAATGCTCCGTCTGAGTCCATTCATAAGCGGGAGAGATGCATTGGCATCTAAAGGAGCGTAATAATGGAAAAATGTTGAGTACGCGTCATGCATTTCGCTGGAATATATACGGACAGCAATGTGCATTCAGTAATGCTACATAAAAACAGCCTTTGATTTACCAATGGTAACAGACATTTAAACTCTGTAAAACTAAACGATTGCTTGTAGAAGAGACGGCGAACGATGAAATAACGGTCCAGAAAACTTGGTCCCATCATAATATAAAGATCCCATCCAAAACTGTTAGTGTACACAGGCTGTTTCCCAAAGACGAGGACATTAGGTTGTATTTTTCCATACTTGTATTTTAGGAAAGGTGTGTCAAACAAATACTTAAATCCTATCAAAGGAGACGAAGAGTTTATGAGAAGCTACCACCACCCTTCAAAATAGCAAGCAGCATAAGACAAGGATGCCCGATATTACCTTTCTTGTACAACTTCATCCTTGATAAATTCATTGAAACCGCTTTCGCTGGACAAGACGGATAAGGTGTGAAGTTGTATTCAGTTGATCGGCCTCGACTTGAAGTATGCAGATGACCTTTTTGTTATCTGTAACAGCTCACAAATGTGCCAAGAAGCAATGGACTTATTAGCACTGTCTGTCAGCTGTTTTGAACTGTGCTTTGCATTTTTGATTAACAGTGCCGAACGCCAAGATTGGAAGGGAATCCAGCATACACTAAGCCTTGGTTGGAACCAACTAAAATTAGTTCAAAATTTTTATTATCTGGGAAAATTTTTAAATGTCTGTAGACTAGAAGATAGAGTGAAAACACGTATATTTGAAGCTCGAGGCGCTTTACTTATCCCCGTTACCTGTAACACGAGTGGGGTATGGCTGTCGTCTTGTGAGTCAAAGTGTACAGTGCAGTCATCCATTCACAGTTATTATATGATTTGGAACCTACCGTATAAAAGTGGCAGAGATATGCAGGCTAGTTGCTTTCAACAACCAGTGGCTTCACAGCTTTGCACACCTCTGTTAGGAACACAAAGCAATCAATTTTTCTGATCGTCATCCTTCTACTATCAGAGCCACTAAGATCGCAAAGTTCCTAAGTCAGCTCACGGACTAAAAACCGCTGGTGCCAGCTCCACCCATTCGTATCTAATAATAATACTACTAATAAGAACGTGTCACCTCTACGCCGTAACTTCACTTCACTATCGTGCGAGTACCACCAGTTTTACGCAGACTGATTATGCCACGAGGACTTCCACCCCTACTTAGATTCGAACCCACCCATAGTGACAGTTATTGTGAATATATTTGTGAACGCAGTTAGTCATCTTACCTACGAGAAGTGTGTCTTTCAGATACACGATTGTTGAACAGATACTGAATCTTATTCCTTGGTTAGTGCCGTCGGAAAGGAAAAGGAACTTCCCTCTACCTATAATATCCTTATCGTCCCAATCCATTGCGCCGTATATTTTCAATGTGGTTTTAGCATATTGTGAAACTTGTGTTTCTCTACCGGTTTCGGGTGTCCACTAATCAACAATTACATCACTGTCTACTTGCAAGCGGCGTTCCCAACTTCCTTCTCTGTGCATATGGCCTTATCTGTGAAACACAGAGATCGGAATTGTAGTGCTGTGTCCCATCTGTATCCGCCGGTTGACGAAATATCGGTTTGGAAGTTAGTCACTCTTGCAAACAGAGCAGTCAAGGAATGGTGATGTGCAAATCCATGGTGAGCGATTTCAGATTCCACAAAAGCTGGCTTTCATTGTCCACTTTCATGTTCAAAAATTGCCATCCACTTGATATCAACAACTGTTGACCATTTACTGGAGTTTGCCAGTATTATGTACAAAATAGTGGACATTGACTATCTAATGATAACTCCATGTTCTTGAGCGCCTTCTTTCGACTGAAACCCGAGCTAGAACAATATACGACGCAATGTCCGTTGTTTCAATCACCTTAAGCTTCGGCCACTCCCTAGGTTAATCTCTTCGGTCAAACAGCGTTTCACCATACACAGTGCGTCGTATTTTGGCTTCTTGGTGAGGAGTGCGCTAACGTTACCATAGATCATCGTTTCATCTTCGTTTCATCCGAACTCATGACACTTCTTTAGAAACGTATTCGTTCACCATGTCAACCGCTGCATTATACTGGCGATTGCATATAGACCAGTAAATGCAAGCTGTTGCCAACCCGGTAACGTTATCACAATTTACGCGGCACACTTCCGCAAAGCTCACTGCAGTACATCATGCATTGCTGTGCAGATGATGATGCTAAATTCATCAGTAAGGCCGATCAACTGCAGTTAATAGGTAATTCGACCACACCCACCGATTACTAACGCACTGTTCCATGATAGCGCGTAGTGAAGCACCGCACGCATTATTTCACCTAGGCAATATTATCCACAATCGATCACACGTAGACACCGCTAAGCATGGGTCAAACCAGGTGAGGTTGACGGACCTGTCTGCTAGCTTGCATGCAGCTACCTTCAGTGAAGGCAATCGATACTGTCGCACTGTGGAGCACATTTCATGTCCGGTCGTCTATGCGCAACAGTGAGCACTATAAATGCGGATGGAATATCTCCGGCCCCCCAGTTCTGTATTTTGTGGCTTGATGCCGCCGAAGTGAGTGGGTGAGAGTTACAGTACTTCCTCAACCGTCCATAAATGCAGCGCGCTAGTCCGCACCGTATCCTACAGTGAATGAGCTCATGTGTTGTTTTCACGTCCGCGTGTGCATCACGTGGTTTGTTGCCTGGGCACAGTCTAACCGCTGCACCAACCGATGCAGATGTTCTGAGTACTCTTGCACTGATTTGCAATTGGTCAAAACGATGGGCACGCATTTGTGCGTGTGCGCCACTTTAGATTCAGCTTGAATTGCTTGTGGATTCAGTTGAATATTCTTAAGGAGTACTTGTTTCCTCTTGGATTTTACTAGACTAGTAAACTTTGTAGAATGTTTGTCAACATATTGAGATGTACAACTTTGGATGATTTACTTTATATCATTAGTTTCTTGTAATACGTAAGCACCGTTTTTGGCTTATTTAACGCAGTGTATTTTGTACCCAGTCACTTGGTAGCTTCAAAATAGACGCTTAAAGAAAACAAATCCTATGGGTGCCAGTACTTATAATTTGGTGTACTAGGTTATCTGATTAACAAGTTTATTACGAATACTTCAATATATTTCATACAAGCTTTACTCTTCATGCATTTTATTATTGCATGAAAAACAGCATTCAAACAGAATAATCTAAATGCAGCAATTTCTGTTCAACGGCTAATACTTGGTCAACATTTTACGCACAACTGTAAGAAATGTTAGGTTGCACACAGAAACATTCTAGATTTAACGTCATTAATGAATCGAAAGCGATCAGAATTCATCTGGTAGTGTTTGGCATTCCGATGTGGTCATCAGCCTCCCAAGGCAAGGCAAGACTGGCGACGAACACGGCCTGTTTACACAAAGTGGGTTTCAGCCGCCTAACCACCGAAGCCTCAGCAAAAAAGCAGGCAACTGCACTCTGTCGGCTGAGTATCCAAACTGGTTCACATGGGTCATCACACTCGGTGCAGTCAAGTATATGTCAAGCGATTGTAATAGCGGGCAGCTTCGGGCCATTTGCGATAATGCTTCGCGAAATATGCTTTAAATTCCTTGTAGACATTCCACTCTCAGTGCACTCGACGTACTCGCTACCGTAAGTACCGTGAAACAGATGAAGGGATGAGGTGGTAACTAGAGTCTAGTCTGTCCAGATTGGATTTAAACAACAGCTTTAACTTAACGCAAAAGCACCAGATCAGTGGCATAGGAATAACACTTGTGGATTGACTGAGACGGTACTGGAAGTTCTTGTCATGTTTGTCGCCTTTGAATGGCAGTACAAAACACTTTTTCTTATTAACGTCCAAAATCCACTCGTTGCTAGTTCTCGTGTTCGAGTTTCATTGCCGCACCATTAGCTTCTCAGTGTGCCCATTTTCAAGTGAGGTGGAAGAAACCTGTTACAGCTCACATCCAGTTGTTTCCTCAGAGTAGATCTAGCGTGCTGTCGATTCCTTACTGACGTTGCACCTTGAACGTCTCTGAATGCAACCAGTCTATTCCACCAATTGTTTCTAAACGGCTTCAATATGTCAAACTGAGTTAACTGTTATTCCTTAAAATGAGCTAGTTATTAAGCTAGTATATAAGAATACTAATAATTTCGAGCGGCAAGACCCCGGTACCAAATAGCGACGCTTTGCTGCTACGCAACCACCGCCAGTTTCGCGTGTGCTAATGGTACGGAGAGGGTCGCCCTTTCCCGAACACAAGCTCAAACGCCTGAACCCAGAATGATAAGGTATGCATGCGATCCTTCCGATCACCGGCCAGCATCATAAAAATGAACAGTACTGAATCAACGTTTTGATTAGATACTATGAAATTAATATTATTCCTGCATTTTTATAAGTTATCTTGAATGTGGATAGCTAGCGTGCAGATAAATTACTCAGCTCGGTAAACATCAGATTAACTCCGTCCTAAATCTTTCAACTGTCTTTAAAGTTCCTATGCACACTGAAGGGCACTGTGATGACCATGAAAAAACCAAATGAATGTTAGCATACTTAATAGAAACATGCTGTGAAAACCGAAGTTAGTGAAACTCATCCTATTGAAATAGCTTGTCCGGAGGATGCAGGATACAAAAGCATGTTTATATGGGATTGAAATCACTTGAATTCATCCATGTGTACGCTTCGGTTTCCGTTTAATAGTTCGCAGCTACCGGCCACTGCGTGGTTCAACTGTTCGCACACATCGATTGCGTCCTCCGAAGCTATTTTGTGATAAATTAGTGGTACACTTAGTGATGTGTCGTGGCTTCCGGACATCACCTCCATTGTATGTGGTCTACAGAGTTTGGGACAAATGCCATCCACGTCGTAGGCTTCATCACTGCCGATTATGGAACAAATCACCCAGTTATACATCCACAGAACTTGACTGTAATCTTGCAGACCGAGAAAGCAATCCGCCGAGTATGCTTTTTAAATAAGGGAAAAGGGTATAAGGGAAGTGCGGGATTTGGTGGGTCTTCTAGGGATAGATATGACTGTATGCAAGGTAAATCACATGTCCATGAAAAATGAAATTATTCACCGGAGGCATTGTTTTCTTACAGTGGCCTAGTGAAAATCTCGAGTGTAGAAGAAATGAATCTAAATTAACTCACCATTCGGGAAAAATTCATTGTTATACTCACCCGAGGTAGTCAAGGACGAAAGCGTTTACTCAAAAGCTTTGAAAAAGTTGCGAAAGATTAACGAAACAACGGCTATGGCAGATCATTAAAAAGCACTGTTGGTCTTCGCCGATAATGCAGGTGAATGCAAATGTTACATGATGAAACGAGTTTATATTAAGTAAGCATTATGGTTTTTGCCTTAATCGAAGTCTGTCATTGGATGCATCTTAAAGACCATCTAAGGCAAGGCGCACGCCGTCCAAACATATTGTAGACAAGGCAGTTGGCAAGCGGAACACAGATAACCTATCAATGCATCAGGCGGACCATGCGTATGGTCTACACGCGTTCACTTTATGTAATGCTATCTGGTCATCTTTTGTTGTCTCAGTCTTGTTTCACCAAAAGTTATTGCCCCTACGGCGTTGTTATTCTCTTGACACAAGTTGCCGGTACGTGGGTGGCAACTAGCGAATCACAGCTGCTTGCGTATCAGTTCGATTAATGGTCGCTTGCACGTGAGTGAAAGATGAGGATCTCAATGTCCCACCTGGTATATACTCACGTAGGTCCGCCGCTCTCTCACACGGCTCGATGCTCGGCGATCAAAGCCTTCTAGGTCTTTACAGTGGCCAAGGTTTCTCCTACATGGTTCCCCGCTCGACCTCGT